ATATGAAGGCCATAGGTAAAGTGAAAATAGTTGCCATGTTAGGGAAGTGAGAGTAAGCATTATTTTTCTTTGTTTTTTAAAAAATTCATTTTACATTGTTGTTACATTATTTTTTCAATAATAAATTTATAAAATAGTAACCACATGACATAGCACTTCTGGTAGGTCATGGCGAATGGACACTCAGCTATCATGACGTTCATAAACTTGTCCTTATGTAATTGATCTATTCTTAATAGATAGATTCAGGTAATTAAGGATGATTCTTTAATGTTTAGATGTGTAAAGTAAATCCAACTTTTAAATTTTTTAATAAATAAGCATTTATTAAATATTTAGTTATTTTCTTCCTTCTTAGTTTAACTATAGGGACATGACTTATCATGTTACTCAAGGCCATGAGCTCAGTTATGCATCTTTCAGCAATTTTAGAGACCTGCATGGTACTCAGCATTGCTCCCTTCAAAGGGAAGGCTTGTGGTGGGACAAAGGTCCACCACCCAATAAAAGCTGTTTCTTGAGCAAATTCAGTCACTGACTGGGGGGCTCATGGTGGGAACACCATGTCAACTGATACGTCCCACATGATAGGCCTCAGTTTGACCATTACACTTGGGATTTAACATTTTCCCCTTATGGTACAGTTTGACCTCTTTCTGTATGACTGATTTGTTAATGACTTTTTATGATTCTTTATGATTATCAACTTGGTAATAGCAAAAAATATGTTTTAAAGTTACACCAGGACAAGGGGGTTACACCATGAGCCTAAGGGAGTTTCAGCCAGATTTTTCTGTCCTGCAAAAAGAAGACATCAAGGGCCCTCTCCCCAGTTTTATGACAATACAATTACTAAAAGCAGAAACAGCTACATAATTTGCAGGAACTAGCACAAAATGAAAATGCAGGGATCCTTGTTTAAGAATTATTAAGCACTTCAAGATGGTGACAGCATAGCATTAAACCAAGCATAGAGCCCTTGTAAGTGTGGGTGTTCTCAAGACTGTGCAGGTGGCATGCCCATGAAGCCAGCCCTAGCCAAAGGCTTATATTCACACAGTACCTCTGCTTCCAAGCAATTCAAACAATTGTGGTAAAGTGATTGTTCTGATTCTCCTGGTACCTTTGGTCTTCATAAAGGAATGACTAAGGAAATGGACACTGGAATGTCTGCCTGGGTTTGCATCTCTGCTTTGCCACTTTTACTAGCTTAGTGACCTTGGGCAAGTTAGTTGACATTTCTGTGCTTCAGTTTCCCATAAAACAAAGATAACCATGATACATCCCTCATAGTCTTCTTATGAGGATTGGATGTGTTAATATCTATAAAGTACTCAGAGAGATGCCTGTAAACACTATAGAGTGTTTAAGTAAAAAATTTTCAAGTGCCATTACTCTGTAGCAGGCTAGGATTTGTGATTTCAACTATCTTTGACCAAAGTCCTGCTATAGCATTGTTTTCATATCGTGCTGATTGGTTCCCTAAAAGTAGGATGACCAGCTGTCCCGGTTTGCCTGGGACTGAGGGTTTCCTGGGATGCAGGACTTTCAGCACTAAAACCAGGCAAGTCCTAGGCAAACTTGGATGGTTGGTCACCCTTCAAAGTCTGATTCACCATGTTGACAAGAAGAGGTAGAATCATTAAAATAACTCTTTGTACTTAGAGACAGAGAGCAAGAGAAGGGGGGGGAGAGGGAGGGGGAGAGAGAAAGAACAGAGAAAGAGAACACGTACGTATTGCCAAGAATTGAGGACTGTGCTTGGAGCTGAGGCCCATTCGGAAGGGTATCTTCATTTATCAGGTGAGGAAAGAAGTAGGATAAGAAAGAGATTTTTATCAGACTGTATTGAAGGTACCAGGAAGGAAAAGGATATTGTCCGTAGGGTATTAATTTTCAGTATTGCTTTAGTCCTGGCCACTAGAAGCTCCTGCCCTTGGGTATGTGCTTTACAGGGCCCCACTCTGTTCCTCATCCCACTATGCACCTCCTCACAGGGCATGCACCGATTTTATTTAACAGTGTGTTAGCTTGTTTATAACTTCTACATATTTGCATCTGTGATATGTGGACTCTTGCTCCAGGCACTGCAAATGTTAGGGACAGGCCTGTTAGCATGAATGTCCTCTCCTAGTGAGGGCTAGATTGTCATTCCTCAGATGAAACTTACATCATGGTCTGGGCCTCCTGGAAGAATTCATCTTCTGACATGGAGCCCTCCTTGATCATCTTAACAGCAACATCATACTGGCCCTTCCACTTGCCCAGATGGACCACTCCAAACTGGCCACTTCCCAGCTCCTTCAACAGGGTAATCTCTTCTCTTTTCAGTTCCCAGAGTCCTAATACAGCAAGACAGACATTCTTTAGGACAAGAATAGAAGGTTTTGGGGCTAACAGCTTCCCAAGAGATTTTCTCGCCAGTGAGAGTTTCCAATTGATGATATGAAGAACTGCAAGACTTTTTATTTTAAGCTGCTCACTTAAAAAAAAAAACCCTTAGTGATGTGGTCTTATGACCTTTTAGACCACATGATAATGCCACCAGGACAATATTGTTCTTGAAGCAGCTACAGTTATTAACAGGAAAGCTCCCAGTAAAAACACTTTGCCAACCAGAGGCATCTTGGAAAGACTCAGTGACAATATGTGCTCGATGCCCTTAGCTTGGTAAAACATTGTTATATTTTCTTATAAAACAAATTAAACTGTGATCTGGGTGGATGTCATCATCTTAAATACTCAAGGTTGAAGACTGGCTCTCCTGAGCAAGCACAGAATCCTGAAGAAGAAAGGACAGGTAATGGGGTTCTAGAGGCTGATGATTGGGTTTATTAAGAAGAAAAATCTGACAATCTTTTTGGTAATGCTGGGGAGATTACAGATTTAGGTTGGGAGGACAGAAAACATTTTTTTTAAGAAAAAGAACAAATATGTTAGAGCTGAAGCCCTGCTTGGCACAATCTGAACAGGGACCTCCTTCCTGTCTTCTCTGTTTTTTCAGTAAATTAACCAAAAATGCTGAGAAATGGAGTTTAATAGCCCAAGGGCATGTCCTTACCACTTCCCAAGGACACGGAGACAGGAACCTTGTTGGCCTTGGTCGACACAGGGTGGCGGAGTCGTGTGATCATGCCTGCAATGGAAACAGCATCATATCATCACATCATCACATCACCTCACATCACATTACACCACGTTGGCTCACACATCTGCTCATGCTCTCTCCAGAGTAGCTGAAAAAGCCCAGAGTTCAGGATGTTGTGATGCAAAGAATCCATTCTGACCATATTCATCCTGTAGTTGTACTAATTTGTCTTTGACTAGTTAGTTCAATGTAAAGCAAAAATTCAAAGAATAAAACCACTTTATGTGACTTTAAAAAATCCCATCGAAGTTAGTTGCTTGATGGAATTTTTCATTTAAAATTTTTTCCCATTTTTATTTTGCTATCTCTCTATAGTCCTGTATTTAAATATGTATACACACAGCACACACATTTGGCAAAAAATCCAAACAGTTTAGAAGGGTAGAAAATAAAAAGTAAATCACTTGAATTTTAAAAAATTGAACCTATTACTAAATTGCATTAAATGGTCAAGTCATTTTAAATGTTTGCATTGAGTTATGGTAAAGCTGTGTCAAAATAATCATAGTATTTATAGTGGCTTGAAAGAACTCATTCAAAAAAATGTTTTTTCTTTAAATGTGTGATGCTTTCCAAGTCATGGGAACTATCACACATGTCCTTTTTCCTCCTTCCTTTTTCTATATGCTTGTTTACTTTTTATATGAGTGGTCTCTAAACATTTTAAATCCTGCACTTTTTTTCTTTTGTGAGAAAGATCAGCCCTGAGCTAACATCCTATGGCAACCCTCCTCTTTTTTGCTGAGGAAGATTGGCCCTGGGCTAACATCCATGCCCATCTTCCTCTACTTTATATGGGACGCCACCACAGCATGGCATGACAAGCAGTGCATTGACGCGTGCCGTGGATCTGAACGTGCGAACCCTGGGCCGCCGAAGTAGAGCACGCGTACCTAACTGCTGCGCCACCAGGCCAGCCGCAATCCTGCACCTTTAATCAGCAAAAAAAATTAGCGCACTCCTCCAAAATATGTATATATACAATTACTGCTTAATTGATACATTATGTGAATCATAAAATATACTCACAAATATAAAACTTAAGAGAATGAAATTTAAAAAACAAATCTAAATAAACATTTTAATATTTTCTTTCTATACTCTGTGACGTTTCTTGTGCATCCTCTGGAGTACAGTCATTCCATTTGGAGGTGTCTATTTATAAAATATCTTTTCCAAAGGATACTTTTGAGGTGCTACAGGTTAAAATAACCAATTGAGGAAATTGAGACAGAGGGAAAATACAAGCACCAAAATGGAAGCCAAGAGTAAGGCCAATTCACCTATGTGCATGCAATCAGGTCAGATAGAGTTGAGCAAATTTGATGCTGAGCCCACAGCTTATTTTTACTCATTGTTGGAAATTCATCCAGTTACTATTCATAAGTGGCACTAGTCTAGAAAAGACATTTAGAGGGGATTTCTTTTTTTCATTTCTTCTTTTTCCAGCTTTATTGAGATGTTATTGACATATAACATATGTAAGTTTAAGGTGTACAATGTGATGATTTGATACATGTATATATTGAGAAATGATTACCACAATAAGGTTAGTTAATATCTCCATAAGAATGTATTTCTATATACATTTTCACCAGCTGATTAGGCAAAATTTGAAAAGAGTAATAGCAACCAGTGTTGGTGAGGATGAGGGAAATTGCTGTTGGTGGGAGTGTATATTTCTTCTTCTTTTTTTTTTGCAGCAGAAGATTCACCCTAAGCTAACATCTGTTGCCAATCTTCCTCCTTTTTTCACCCTTCCCCCTCCGAAGCCCCAGTACATAGTTGTGTATAGTTGTAAGTTCTTCTGGTTCTTCTATGTAAGCCGCTGCCACAGCATGGCTACTGACAGACCAGTGGTGTGGCTCTGTGCCTGGGAACCAAACTCGGGCCACTGAAGCGCCCGCTGAACGTTAACCACTAGGCAATCAGGGCTAGCTGGGGAGTGTATATTTCTGAAAAGCATTTTACAATGTCTAAATTTTAAATGTTCTTAGCCATTATCTCGGGAATTCCACTTCTAGGGAGTGTGGCTACAGAAACACTCTTACAGCTGCACAGAGCTATGTGCGTAGGACTGTACACTGAAACATTGATGCGATGTGAAAATATCAATAGAGGGTTAGGTGAATAAATTATGGAGTAAGTCTACAATAGAATTCTAGGTAGCAGTTAAATAGAACAAAGTAAGCTATATATATACTTGCATGGAAAGACCTCTAGGACATGTTGAATAAAGAAAGCAAGCTAAAAAGTAGTATGTGTCAAATGACCTCACTTCTGCAAAAATATAATGTGTGTAGTTACATATGTGAAATTTATTTTTATATATATAATGAATAATAAGTGTTAGTATCAGCATAGAATAAAATTCTGTCAGAATAGACACCAACTTGTCCATGGAGATTACTCCTCCAATGATATACATTTCTATAATGTTCGAATTTTGCAAACAAGTTACTTCTATAGGCAGAAAAAACCTGCAAATATTTTTATAAAGAGAATCTCTACTTCTAAGTCACTCAACTCCATTTTTTCTGGCATTATAGAGTGCATAATGTCATATTCCAGGAAATGTAGGTTACAAATCACAGCAGGCATAGGACCTGAGAGCATTCTTTCCCTACTTTCACGGTTCCCTATATAATTGAAAATATTAGGAGGATCAGTAGTATCCAAGAAAAGTGATATTTATCAACAAGGACCTATAAAAGAAAAACTGAAAAAAATTACCTGCTGAATTGTGTTGATGATAGTGAATAAGCTTTGGAATGGAATCAAAACAGTAGTTTTCTGCCAGGTACAATTTGTTCTCAGGATTTGTATGCACATGGTAATGTTTGACGGTTCCTTTCTTATCACTAGAAAGGAGGAAAGAATGTTAGGATGTTTTTAGTAAACAATTGAAGCTTGATTAAACAATGGTTCAATAATTCTTTCAGGTGCATTCGCAAATTTTGAAGAGGGAAGTCAGAGAGGGCTTCTCAGTTTTGACATCTGGTGTTTTTCTGGAGGTATCCACGACAATCAGTAGTTACGGAAGGGGACTCCTCTCTGAACTCAACCTATCCTTGTACACATACAGAATTCACGTACAATAAAATTCCAGCCTTCTGGACTGTTCCTTCCTTAGTAAGTATAAAGCTGGAATCTTCCTTTGATGATTGACAGCAGTTCTTGCAGTTCTGCAGATCCTGCAGCTCTTCAGGATCATTATTCTGAACATCAATTCTCTTTTAGGATAATAATGGAGATAAAAATATGGGAGGCGAAGGTGATTAGGCTGTGGATGTTCTCACCCAGAGCATGGGCGAGAGGCTCTTTTGGGAGTGGAACGTGCAAGATGAGGTGGGTGGGGATCTCCTTTAATTCTTCACATGAACTTGTATCTTTTTCACATAAAACATATTTTTTCTTTTGCTCTACTTGTAGAAAATAGTGGTGAATTGATGCACTTGGTTTAGGCTAATCAGGAAGGATACGCCTGTCTTAGATTTTAGAGCATGGCACAGCAGTCAAGAACTGGGCTTGAGTCCAGTTCTACTGCTTGCCAGCTACCTCATCTGGTTGTTATAAAGATTGGATGAGATTATCTACATATCAATTTGCACTATGCTTCATGCATAAGAAACTGTTAATAAATTGTTGTTGCTGTCATGCCGGCCTAGTTAAAACTGCAATTAGAGAAAGGAGAAAGGGTGCTTCTCCTTGGTGCAAGTGGCTAATTGGCTCTTGGTCTCAGCATGAGATTCACTCAAACCCATTGATGGTGTTTCATAAAAGAAGACTTCTGTATTCATTGATTGGGATTACTTTAATTTGATTCCTCATCTACTTGCTAATTTATCTATCTGACCACCTTCAAAAATGAATCTGGTGTCAAGAAGCTTGACTAGGAGGACTTCTGATATCAGATTTGGCTGAAACTGCAGGGCCAGAGGGCCACAGAGCTTTTGCTACTCAGTGAACCAAGTCTTCCTCTGGTTCTTATGGGGTTGGCTTTAGCCAGCATCCGGGTGTGCAACCTAGTACATGAGGTGCTCCCAGGATGTAGCTTTTGGCATTGGAAATGCCATGTGACTGCTTAGGGTACATCCAATTTCCTGAAATTGGAGGTAGGTACCCTAAAAAAATTCTCAGAATGAAATAACTTTTTAATCACTTAATTATTACAAAAATACGTATATGCACCATGGGGCAGGGCACATGAAGAGGGCACCAAGGCAGAATGACCATTCAATTCCACCACAAAAAAGGGTCGCACATATAGAAATATTTTCTTTCAAATGATCCTAATCAGGATTTGGCCAGATTCTTATTCCAAAACATTGGGAGTTTCAGTGTAGAGACAGGGTGTGGTTGACGGAATACGAACTCTCCTGTTGAAGGCCAGGCCTCAAGTTGGTCATTTATGAGCTTTGCAGGCAGGTCTTTGTAAGCTCTCTTTGAACCTCAATCCTCTTATCTATAAAATGGTGCAAATAAAATTAGCTTTCCTATTTGCTTTGCAGGATGATTAGAAGAAACAAAAGAGCTAACAACCAATAGGAAATTGGCTTGTAAAACTCTGGAGGGGGATCCTGATGTTGGTGATGATGACTTACATGAGATGACTGTGGGTGTCTTATACGCCTTAGTGTTGGGGTGGGGGTAGTGGAACAGGTAGAATCACTCTTTCCCAACGACAGCAACAATAATGGTAATTGCTAGTACTTTATTAAGTGCTTACTATGTGCCAGGCACTGTTCTGATCCAATACATGAATTAACTCACTTCATTCATAGAGAGTAATAATCGTTATTATAGCCCCTTTTCAGAAGAGGAAGTTGAGGCACAGAGGTTAAGAAACTTGTTCAATGTCATAATGCTCTGAAATGGTAGAGTCAGGATTTGGACCCAGAAGTGCAGCTTCAAACCAGAACTATTAGCCACACAAAGAGGACAGTCCCCTAGAAAGAAGCTCTCCAAGAACATAGCTACACTGATTCAATCTTCTGCTAACTCTGCCCCTAAGGGAAAGACTTAATAAAACCAAACTCTGGGATAGGTTTCTCAGCTCAGCAGGTGGCTCAGGCCAAGAGTGTAGAGTGTTGCTATTTTTCTCTCTTTCTAGGCTTACGACTGAATCGTGGGGAATAACCCAAGATTCCTTTAACAAATGTTTACTGAGGCGTGCTGTGCACTGGGCACTCTGCTGCTGCCTGGGATAGGCAAGAGGTGATCTGCAACAGAACAGCCTCTTGGAAGTCAGGAGAAAAAAGGCAACTGCAAATGGTCACATCCAATAGAAATACTTTGATCCAAAATTCCAGGGTTTAAAGATGGTGTCTTATCCCAAAAATGTGACTAAATGACAGGCATATTCAAAGAACATACTCAAAAGATAAAAGAAATAAATTCATGTCATACTTACTTCACAGCCTTACTAAATAAGGACACTGTGTACATTCCCGCCTGGCTGGAATTTCTAACCATAAATGCTCCTTCTTTTCCCTGAAAAGAAACGTACATGTGGAAGGAACAGAAAACATTTTCATTATTCTTGAAAACTATTTTTCCTGGTAGGTGGTAGGAAATTAGATCTTTTAGATCCACTTTATATGTCATTGATGGCACAGATTATCCAACAGTTGGCACAGAAGGAGACCCACAGTTTAGCTTTTCTCCTTCTCTCACTCAATTTCTTTCTTTCTTTTTTTTTTTTTGGTGAGGAAGATAGGCCCTGTGCTAACATCTGCCAATCCTCCTCTTTTTGCTGAGGAAGACTGGCCCTGGGCCAACATCCATGCCCATCTTCCTCCAGTTTATATGGGACGCCGCCACAGCATGGCTTGCCAAGAAGTGTGTCAGTGCGCGCCTGGGACCTGAACCGGCGAACCCCAGGCCGCCGCAGCGGAGCGTGTGCACTTAACCGCTTGCGCCACCAGGCCGGCGCCTTACTCAATTTCTTTATAGCTTTACCCTGTGTGCTTCAACTTTTCCTTTCTAGTCAATTTTTAACCCTCTCTGATAATTTTCTCTGTTTTGCATTTGTGCAAGCCTAATGTTTTAATCTTTTAGAAACAAAATTTAAAACCGCATATCACCATATCACGCTCTTGGAAGGTTTTAGAAAACCAAAGATGCAGAACAAATCATTTGTTCAAGTTCTATGCTCAACTTGTCTTTCTTAATGACTTGTGCTAATTCTAAGCAGACTCACCTTCAGAAAGAGCAGATAATAAACTATGAATGTGACAAAATACCGAGTTAGGTAGTGAAATCATCACATTCTCACTAATACCCCTCAAAGAAATAATTCGTGTGTTCTATTAGGTTGAACTACATCATAGTGTCATTTTTGTAGGTCAGAAGTTTGAGGTTGGTAATTCCACATCACTTGGTAGACATATTCCCCGTTCCATCTGCTGTACTCTGGTTTAGGTGCTAACGAGCAGTGACAGAGCTGAGGTAGGCTCTTACACAGATGGCCCCCAATAAGTCATCTCTCTGTGTTCATGCCCTGTGTAGTCCCCTCCCACGTTAACTCTGGGCTGGGCCACATGACTTGCTTTGGCCAGTAGGATATTAGCAAATGTGACAAAAGCAGAGACCCAATAAGTGCTAGCACTGAACTGTGGGGCTTGTCCTCTTCAACCACTGCCTTGAGATCACCATGCTGGAGGAAGCCCAAGTTAGTCACATGGAAAAGAACTATGGCACCTCGGTTGACTGCCTCAGCTAAACCCAACCCCTTAGTCAATCCACCAGCTAAATGCAGCCACCCGAGTGATCCTAAGCAAAACCTGCAGAACTGCTGGCCCAGCTGACTCACAGAATGGTGAGAAATCATAAATCTTGTTCTTTCAAACCACTAAATTTTGAAGTGGTTTACTACACAGTGATAGATAATGGAAACAGAGGAAGTGGCTGTATGTGAAGGGCCTGGTAACCCATTGGCTGGATAGGCAACACTATGATGACTTGAGCAACACTGTGATAATTAGCAATAAAGTTTCTATGAGAAGTGCATTACCCTCTGGGCCCAACAATAGAAAGAGATTCTTAGAGGCTATTTTAGAGACTAGATTATTTACCTTTTGTCTCAGTAACTGCTCAGATTGTGACCTGGAGATGTTGCCTGCAAACCAGCTGCAATAAGAAGGAATTCCGTATTTGAGAATTAATAATGGTTAATTGCATAACTTGTCACTCAACTTTCTAATCTATAAAATGAGGTATTGGCCTAGATCAGGGGTTTCCAAACCTGGCTGCTCAAGAGAATCGCCTGAGGAGCTTTTCAAAAATCCAGATTCCTAAGTCTCCACCACCCATTTATGATTCTGGGGTGAGGCCTGCATATCTATATTTTTAAATGGGCTGGCTTTAAGAACCTTCGGCCTCCTTCTAGGTGATCTCTAAGTTCTCCTACATTTCACTATTTTCAATGAGAGCCAGAGATTAGATTGATGAAGAATATTCCGATGGGAAAGTCATGATTGCCAAGGATGAAAGTTCCTGTCTTTCAACCCTATAATTTTCTTTTAATAATCCAATAGAAACACACCTCATAGCATCTATTTTCAAAGCAAATGCTTCTCTAAAAAATATATTTTATTTACAGAATAGCAATAGATAAGCATCTAAGGTTATATTAAGACAGAAGCAGTTGTACTGAACTGAGAAAAAGATGATGTGGGACAGCCAGGTGTAATCTTCACATTTTGCCATTTTTACTAATGTAACCGAGAACACCATGTCTTACTTTATATGTGGAGCTCAACAGGCGACAGAGTTGTTTCTTATGTGAGATCAACAATGTCTGTAGTCTTTTGGCTTTGGCCAAAACATCATACTAAGGCAATGAACAGGGTGTGACGTGGGACAGGGCATGGGTTTGGGGGCTTGGGAGGACCTTCTGGCTAAAAAATAACACCTGAGGAGGAAAGAAGTACATGAGGAGAGTGAGGGTATATTAGGCGAGGGCAAGGTGTCAGCTGGCGGCCAGTTCAATGAAGTAGAAAGAGCCTTAGACCAGCCAGCTTGGAGGTTTGTGTTCTAGACACAACTTCCTAATAAGTAGTTGTCTGGCTTTGGACAAGCCACTTAGACTCTTTTGACCTTGGAATTCCCCATTTGTAAAATTAGGATGAGGGTTGAACCCGATTAGTTTAAAGTCTCTTTGGGGGGCCGGCCCCGTGGCTTAGCGGTTAAGTGCGCGCACTCCGCTGCTGGCGGCCCGGGTTCGGATCCCCAGCACGCACGGATGCACCGCTTCTCTGGCCATGCTGAGGCCACGTCCCACATACAGCAACTAGAAGGATGTGCAACTATGACATACAACTATCTACTGGGGCTTTGGGGAAAAAAAGGAAGAGGATTGGCAATGGATGTTAGCTCAGGGCTGATCTTCCTCACACACAAAAAAAGTCTCTTCTAACTCTACCCATATAGATACTGTATAATTAACACTTGAGATATTAACTGATATTTTTTATTAGCTAATATTTTAAGGTAATCATAGCTAATTAAAAGACTCATCAGGGAATATAATCCAGGATGTATGCCTACGGGAGATAAAAAAGGTGATCAGGAATAAGGAGAGAGGCCTGGAGAGGCGACGTGAGATTGTGTATTATACCTGCCCCCCGCCCATACATACACACACACACACACAAACACACACACACACACTTTGCCTGTGTCATAATTTTGCCGAGGCATGGCTCTGTTTGTTTTAAATACTATTTCAGCATTTCAATGTCAGAGCAGTAGAGGCTTAGGCCTAGTCCTAAGTCATGATTTTCCGTCTAAACCTTGGTGCCTCAGTCTTTAATGAGGTGGAGTAGAGTTGCTCATGAAGTTATGGCCAAAAAACAAGTGCTTCAGTGACACTGATGGAGCAAGAAGCTGGGGGCACCAAGTAGGGAGTAAGAAGGCTGAGCCCCAGATCACATAGCCCTGTAGTCCTGATCTCCTTTCAGCATCTCTTTGACTTTGAAGATGCCAGGTCCTTCCTGATCATTTCTCCAATGTACACCTCTCACACACTATTTGATTCTAGAAACGATGGAGATAGAGACTGTCTATATGGTCAGATTTGAGTTTTCTGAACCAAGGAAAGACTTCCAGTTCGTCTAAATGCTAAAGACTAAAATCCACAATGAGAGGTTCATTCCCATTGGCTTAAGTCTTTGTTATCTGTTAAAGTGCAATTATCTTTGGATAATTTTTGTGCTGGTCTTTCTCAGTCTTTCATGCCTTAGTTTGAATTATTCCATCAGATGCTTGCCTGAGGGTAGATGTTAGGGAAGAAGACAGGGCTGAAGAGGAGCTAGAAGATGGTGAAGAGACCATGATGCAAAGGGGTGGGGAGTATGGCATGTCTTCCCCAATGTGACAGGTAAGCCTAGGGCCAGGCTGGGTTAGAGGTAAGAGGAAAAGTTGAAACAGTGGTATGTACTTTATAAAAGCTTTCCTTGCACTTATAGCCAATAGATCAAGAACAGAACTAGAAATATGCGTAATCCTAGTGTTCAAGTGAATTGGTTGCCATTGGATAACAGGTGTCTGAGAGATGCAGTATGCCTTATTACTTCCACCTCTCCTTAATGCCAATCTTTAAGTCCAGGAGACTCATTTGTCCCTATAAGTAGAATGGTAGAATCTTAGATTCTGGAAAGGACCTTAATGGTCACTTAGACCAACCTGTCTCAGTATAGTTGGGATGATCACAGATTCTTATTTGCCCAGAAGAGTCCAGTTTATGCCTGATGTCCAGGTATAACAATTAACAGTGCACTCTTTCTCTCTCTAAAGTGTCTACTTTAGATGTTAAATAATAAGGTCACCCTAGGAATAGGAATCTCTCAATATAAATGCTATCATGTTCAAGTCTCAGTTGTGCTACCTTATAAAATTACTGAATCATAAATAACTTCAAAAGTTGGACTCAATGCTAATAGCAGCCTTCAATCATCATCCGGCGAGAGGTCTCCGGGGAAGAAATAATCAGCAGAAATGTCTTATGCTATATCTATGAAGACAAGGTGAAATGAAGGGGACACCAGGTATACAATAAATCTAATGAATATGTGCAGCCAATGTAGATAATCCACATTGGGGAAAAATATTTTCATTAGTAACAACCCAGCTCATTGTCACCTGCCATCCAGATAAATGGCCCAGAACCTCACATGAGTTTACCCATGTAAATATGGCCCCCTGAGCAAGTCTGAGCCATCTATTTTAATGCCTTTGGGGAAGAATAGAATAGAAACATCTATGTTTAGTTTTAGAGGAACACAGAGGACTTTCAAAACTCACTCATAGTCATCCAGGTTTTCCTCCTCTTCAGATGAACTTGACTCAGGGAATCCCCTTAAGAAGAGAGAAAACAACATGAATACAAAAAACCACCCAGAAATCATCCAAGTGCCTAGCAGTGCGATATCAAATCCCACCCTGCTTTCATCCATGTAAATAAAATTCAGACTGTTAGGTTTCCCTTTTTGCCCTTGGGAAGGTATCAGTAAAGTGAAGAGAGAGTCACTCAAAAGTTGAGCTCATGCCCAGTCTAATGAGAAATGACTCTGATACAGGAGGTCCCCAGGAGGTCCCCAGGAGGCCCCCAGGAACACGGATTTCTTTGACTCTTAAGAAGAGGGTGCTCATGAAATAGATGAAGATGCCTTCAGGGACAGCTGGGGTATAAAGTTAAAAAAAAATCTCAGGTTGTGTATAGAGCTATTCTTAGGGAAGAGTTGTTCAACTCAAGGTTGTTTTTCCTCCTGCTAGAGATGCCTGAGCCAGGTATATTAATGTTCATGCTGACACCAGAGTAGATCATGAAAGATGAATCAGAAAAACCAGTGTGAGGAAAACTGTAACCCACAAGTCATGGATTCAGACCAGCTTAAGGGTTCAGAGAGGCAAACTAGATGGATTTTTTCGGTTTATATTTACTTTAAATGTAAAGTTTAGGTGCAAAATCATTGCAAATTTGGTTAGTTTTCCTGCAAATGGAAGTAAAGGAATATCTGAATTTGATTTACCATGACATCTTTGAGGTGCTGTGATTTACATTTCTTTCCCTTTGGTTACTGCATGCAAAATCTTCACTGTTACAAAAAAAGATACATTTCATAAATTTACGTTTATTTATAAATGTTAAATGACAAAAGTAATTTCGTTAGATATGTTTTAGCTTTATTTAACATTTTGACCCATACATTTCACTTGGTTTGGAAATTTAAGCTAATGAGTCATTTTCACATTTTCATCCTCGCAGGGACTCCAAGAAAAAGCAGTAGTTTGACGGTATTCCTAAACAAAAGAGAATTCTTAATAATGGCTCATAATAACCCCAAACAACAGAAAACTTGGGTTAATAAATCATCTTGGCGGGGTTTGCCTCGATTTTCTTGTAGATATGCAAGCATTTTGTCACATATATTTTAAGATAAGGTATTTTCCTCTATGCTGTTGTGATTGCAATTAGAAGTCTTGAAAATACTGATTTTTTTTTTTTTTTGAGGAAGATCAGACCTGAGCTAACATCCGTGCTAATCCTCCTCTTTTTGCTGAGGAAGACCGGCTCTGAGCTAACATCTATTGCCAATCCTCCTCCTTTTTTTCCCCAAAGCCCCAGTAGATAGTTGTATGTCATAGCTGCCCATCCTTCTAGTTGCTGTATGTGGGACGCGGCCTCAGCATGGCTGGAGAAGCGGTGCGTCGGTGCGCGCCTGGGATCCGAACCCCGGGCCGCCAGTAGCGGAGCGCGCGCACTTAACCGCTAGGCCACGGGGCCGGCCCTTGAAAATACTGATTTTTTAACTCCATGTGGACACAGATAGATCTGCAAGATTTTCATCATTCTCTGCCACTCATCACTTGATCTCTTTCATTTTGGGTGTTAAGCAGAGCATGAGAAGGTGCTTACCTCTCCAAGTCCAAAGGGTGTTTTATTTGGAATGCAGGACCTATTTCCTGTTTGCCTTCATATCCCAGGCTCTTTTTCAAAATCCCACTTCACAGTGACAAGCTTCCTTAACAAGGAAGTGCTCCTCTG